ACTTCCATGACAACCCTCTAATTACATGTATGTCATGCAAAAAATCAACTGTTTTGACATTATTCTCTATTCCAAACATAGCTAATCAATGATCAATGACATAAATGGGTAATTAATGAGTAAACAACTGATTGCTCTTTGAGTATTGCTAGTACTCAATGAGTAAAGTAATAAGTTTTGTGGAGCATCAATTACTCATTTATCCATTGATTTATCCACTGATTTGAAAACATTTTGACATATGTCTAATACTATTGTCTGGTAATTTGTGAAGGGGGTTTCTGACACTATATTTGTTGCGACAGTAATGATGTTATACTGTGAAAAGAGCCCTCAAAACTCAGCTTTTACACAATACCTCAAAAAGCAATTTAGCGACCTGCCATTGTTTCCCCAATTTTTGAAAGCCCTTCAGATTTTCTGTTGTCTTTTGTGAAGAAAAGGTCCCTGAAAAACCTGAATTTTGTATGTGATTTGTAAGCACAACTTGGGATCAGTGCACACACATTAGCAAAATGGCAGCTTTTCTCTGATACAGTTTGGCTGTTAATGGAGATATATTGCGGTTAGTTGTTAAAAAAAGCATTTTGATGAATATTTGTTATTGCACAATAATGGTGCATTAATCTTTCTCATTTTGTTAAGAAATTTAAAATAAATTAATGGCTTTTGTTCAGACAGACATATAGACATAGCTGTCATGAGTGGGAAATAATAATGTGAAAGATGTGATATCATCAACATGTCATGACTGTGGCACAAAGGAAGGTCTGAGTCCATAATGGGAGTCAAATCTATGACCTCCCAAACACCAGGCATGTATGATTTATTAATTATCACATCTTTCACATGACACTGAACTCGTTAGAATGTGTTATGAAAATGAATTTGAAAAAAACTATATATTTGCTACAAATGCTGTTCCTTTCGCAGTTGCTTGCGATGAAGGTAATGATACATTCAACAATGGCAAAGAGTCACCTGGAACAGGAACAAGTATAGAGGGTGAACATGACGATAAAAAAGTGTGCAGCACGTTTGAGCAGACAATTTCTACCACAATTACTTTTTACCAACTCAAGAGGTAGGTTATGTAACTTTTTCTATGATCTCAAGACTTTCCTACCGTTCCAACTCTTGTTTCACCTTTCGTAGGTACTCGTTAAGGAGGTTGGACCACTTGCTCAGCATTTTCTTCAATATCCAGCTTGTACTGGCGCTTCAATTTTCCAGTGTCTTGAAACACATCAGGGTACTCCTTCAAGACTTCTTCCATTGAAACGGGGCACTGTCTACGGCGCTGAACCTCTATATTGACGGCTATAACATTTTTGTGTTGCACCCTGACCAAATCCATCTGCTGCATTGTTGGATTTCCAAGCATTAAGTGTATATTGTTACAGGTGTGATGTTGTAACGATTTGTCTATACGACGTGTCAATCAAATATTCGCTAACCAAAAGGTTTCAATCACCAATAATTGTGTAATAAGATAAATAAAAAAGTGCAATAATGTTCTATTATCAAACAAATCGAAATCAAACGATCGGGTTGGATTGATTTTTTGTTCGGTTTTGTTAGATTGACCACGCAGGTTTTAAAATGCGTATGTGATTTTTCGCTTGGTGAGTCAAGATAAACAGGAAATGCAATGGTAGTATTTAATAATATAAAATTCGGTGTACACTTCTTTAATACCTAGATTTTATAATCAGGGACTACTTTTTATTACTTTTACAGGTAAACAGAGAACAATGAAATCTTCACAAAGAGTTGAGCTGAATTACAGAGAGAGTCGTGAGGTTGCAACTAAGTATTTTTTTTTTTTCCAGTCAGTCAAATTAAGCTCCAACTTGTAAGGAACTTATTGTAATTTTTTTTTTTTGTCAGCAAGGTTTTAAGAAAAAACGGAAGATTAAATGGAGTTCCAGTACTCATTGATATGCTTTTCACTCGTATGGAAGTTCTACTATTCAAGCTAAATATAGCTTTTAAGCTATTAAAATTAGAATTTAAGATATGTCTATAAATGGTGTGTGAAAAGCACCTTACTAGACTTATCTTTTTGCGGAGGTCTTGAACTTCCTTAACCAGATTGGGAAATAGATATCATCCAAGGAGGTAAAGCAAGCCACGACAGCGACGGCAACGAGAACGTTGCGAAACAAAAGATCTGATGAGCAGAACAATAAAGCAGCACATGTTTTTTAAAACTTTTTACATCTCTTAGCCTCCCGTACAGAACAAAAGCGTGAAATCACCATCATTTACGTCCTCTTAGCGCGCGATGGCCACAGCAGTTGAATCACGCGTCAGCAATTTGGTCACGTTTTCGCAAATTTGAACTCAACCCTACATCACATGCTATGCAGTAGGGAAGGTTCGTCAGAAACGGTAAAGGCATCGAGCTACTGGCGAAATTCGATTCTTCAGGAAAAAGAAAGTTCGTATTTTCGGTAAGATTTTAAACTCCCTAATATTACGAGGCCGACCTAAACATTCCCAGGTATCAGTCACATACATTTCACATAATCACGGGAGAGTCCAAACTTCAATCATGCGGAAACTTCAGCCTTCATTTCCCTCAGCATTACCGACTCACCTTCGGATTACAACTTCCCTTTCTTGTGGACAGAAACACTAAAACTCGAAAACTACTCTTTCAAATCACTTGTCAAGAAACGAACATCAAGACTCAGTTGACTCCGCATCAGGCCGGCGGAAATTTCAGGCAGGTTAGAGAAATACTACTTAGTTTAGACGAAAATCATACGCTTTATTGTGAGCTCTGTTATGTTTTGATATGTTCGCTATAATACGCATGGTGTAAGTTAAAATTGGTGTGTTTTGTTATCGGTTGCGGTATCATTGTATCAGAGTCCTTCTCTTGGGTAAGGAGCTCAACGAGGCAGTGTTTTATGTCACATAGGAAAGAAACCTGAATCCCTTTGAAGTTCAAGTTCCATGAATGCAAAAATAAATGCAAGACTTTCGATCGACGGTCCCATCGAAAAAGAAAAGGGGAACCCCCTTCTGCAGACGTCATAATACAGTTCGTACTTTCTCTTTCCTTAAACGGCATAAACAGCATCATAGTGAAATAATATGACGCCGGTCATATTATTTCACTATAAGATACGGTATGGAGAAATAGTTTTCTATAGCTTTCTTACGTCCTTTTAACACGAGCTCAGAGAATAGCAGTGGTTAAAAATACCTGTTTGTCTCTAAGAGTAAACAGCAATGTCAAGATGCACTTGAATATTAGCGGCAAATCGCTACGCATCGCCATTTCCTCAGCTTTTGCGACGTTCATCAACCATTGACTGTGAAAAAAAGGTCTTGCTTAAGAGGGATGGACAATTTTCAAGAGGTGAAACTGAAAAATCTATATAAGCAAACTTTCTTAAAACCCCATTTTAATTCTGCTCACGTTTGACTTTCATTTCGTGTGCCTATTTATAGCAAATTGGACAAAGGGATTCCAGGCTTTCCCCTTTCCTAAATTTTCCAAATCAGACGGTCATTGTCTATTACACAACTTTAACTCTTCTTTGAAATATGTGTTGTCAGTAAACTTCCTGAATGCGGAATGACGAATTCAAGGAGATTCCCTATCACTAGGTATATATATATACACCATTTTGATGGTGTATATATATACCTGGTGATTCTCTGGCGCAATGAAACTGAAACAGTCGAATACGTACTTTAAGAGCGGTTTTAGGTCTTAGATAGAAAATTTACACCACCCGCTAATCTAGAAAGTGACATAAATCTTGTAGTGATAAAAGGTTTTGGTTGACGTCGATTTCAAGCTTTGAGGAGTTGTTGCGGCTGAATTGGAACGTCGCATCGTTATTGAAGTATTAAACTTGATGATGAAGGGAGGCAAGTGATAGAAGTTGGATAAAGGTAAGACTTTCTGTAAATAATACTCTATCTTTTAATGCAATTTTCAATTAAGAGAGAACAACTTGCTTGTTGATCAGAGTGGATGAGATTCAGCGCCCATTGCGTCTGAACTGTTGCGTGACTTCGGCCCGTATCCATACTTGTATAAAATTGTTGGCAGAAAACGTTTGAATAATCATATATTTATTGTAAACTAACGTCGGAAACGTTTATTCATACATCAGAAACTCTAAAGAAGCAGTTTTGCACTTTGATCAAGGCCTTGCCTGAAACAAAATGGAACCATTAATAAGTAGTGAATATTTGCATGTAAACCTGGAATGCAAGTTATTCGTGACATCAGCGTTGTTTTGAGTCTGTTGCTCAATCCCTTACGTCACTCTAATTTATGCAAAGTAGTGATACGTGATAATATTTTTTTACGAAGTGGCCCGTGACAATGTGAAAGTTATCGAGATAAACACCACCATTGAAGTGGATTTAATTTCCATTTTTCGGGTAAATTTGCGATTCAGCGTCCGAGTTCAAATATATACTTTGCTTTGAGGATATTGGAAAAGATTATGAGCGATTTTTGGATGGAGTAAGAAGAGGACGATGTTCGATTAGCACCGCGCTGACGAAACAAGATTTCAACATCAACGCGGTTTCTGCTTGCATTTGTAAACAGTGCCACAGTCGTCGAAAAAAATTTGGATCATTTGCCGCTGAATCTCAAAGTTTGAACAGATTTCTCTTAGAGATAGTTACGCTGCGAGCGTGAAGAGAGAGCGACTCTTTTCTTAGTCGAAAGAATCGCTGAAAGAAACAGTACGTGATGTTTACATCCCTGTCATGGTGATGTGCACGTCACGCAGGTCGTAAAATCACGCACATTCTGGAACGGACGTGACGAGTGGGTACAGGTTCACTGTAATTATAGATATCTACAATAGATATATGCTTAAGTTTGTGCGTTTATCCTCATATAGAATTTTCATTCAGAGGAAAACTGTGGGCACTTTACTGACTCATTTCATTGGCTGAACTATGGTTGTCACAATCGACGCAATTGTGGATACTGATATGGAATTCGTAAACAGAGTAGACGAAAGGCTTAATTGCCCGATCTGTAAGAAGGTTTTCGATGAGCCCTGGCAGACATCGTGTGGACATCGATTTTGTAGGCATTGTCTGGAACGTCTTTTAGGGTAGGTCGAAATTCATCATTTACTACTAAATTCTTATCCACTCCTGCTTTCCGCCTGAAACGAAATTGCTTCAGAAAAAATTGAAATCTGCTTTATTTACATTTCTATTTGGCGACTGAAAGTGTCCACTTACGGGTGTAAATGAAACCACTAGCTATTTCCTAGTTACGTCCGACACTTTTTCCGCCTCGGATGGGAAA